TACAAAGAAAAATTTAATATATAATTGATTATTAATATTTTGTATTTTTTTTTATTAATTTATTTATATAAATAAACGATATTTTATTATTTAAATTTAAACAAGATAATAAGAGATAAATATGAAATTTATTGTTAAAATTGATGAATTTGATAGTTCAATGTCTAGATATTCTTTTATTTTAAAAGTTTTCATTTTTCAAAAAGAAAAAATGATCTATCTTGATTATTTTAATGATGAATTTAAAGTTATCAATATGAAAACTTTAAAAGAAAATAATAATTTTGCTTGGGATGATGAAACTTATTATATTCTTGAAAAAGAAGTAAAATATAAATTATTTTATAAAAATCAAGTTATTTGTTATATTGAAGAAGAAAAATTAATAATTGAAAAAGAATTTAGAAAATTCATGTTAAAATTAGTTGATTTTGATAATTCTTTTAAACTCTTAGAAATTGTTAAAGTTGAAAATGAAAAAAAAGAGTATCTTGATTTTTCTAATAAAAATTTAAAGATTACGGATTTAAGAACTGGTAAAGATAATGACGAGATGCGTTTATATGAAATTGATGATAAAAAGTTACCTATCATGCGGTTGATGTTAAACAATATTATAGAATTTATTATAAAAATCAAACTATTATTGATTTTATTAATGGAGAATTTATGATTAATAATTAAATTGATATTTTTAGTATAATTAAATAAGGATTATTAATTAAATTAGTTATAATTTTAATTAGTTTTTTATATAAATAACATGTATCAATTTTTAAATATTGAAAAAAAATAAATAAATATGCAATTTATTATTAAGATTATCGATCTTGATGATTTCGAATTTAAAAATTATTTTAATTTGGAGGTTTATAAATTAGAGAATGAAACAAAAGTTTTAATTGATTATCACGATGAAAAATTTAAAATTAATAATTTAAACACAAATAATCTGGCTTTAGATGTTTTTCTTTTAAAGACAGAACAATACAAGGTTACCTATAACAATCAAATTATTTGTAATCTTGACGGACATGTAATGGTAAAAAAGGAAGGTGTTCAATATTTATTTAATATTGTTGAACTTGATGATAATTTTATTTATTTTACAATTATTAAAAGGGAAAATGGTATAAAATCATATTTTGATATTATTGATAAAAAATTAAAA